CGTTCAACAGGGTACATCCATCTCATATAGGCAGGTCCACACAGTTGTGTCTCTTTCACAAGATGAACAACTAGATGTACCATTATGTCAAAAAATGATGGAGGAAAATACATTTCAACCTAGCACAAAGTAATAATTATTTCTCTTTGCAATGTTGGTAAGATCGCAGGATCTATCACCTTACTACAGATTGACCTAAAGAAAAAACACAATTTAGTTATTGCGCCTCTCACTTTTTCTGGCAAAATAGAACGTATACCTATTGGTAGAAAGTGTTCCATTATAACATGGCAATCATGTGTCTTTAAACTCTTTAACTTGAGGTCTTTCATAGAAACACGTCTTCTAATATCTGAAGAGTATCCTTCTGGAACTTTAATTTCACTCAGAAACTTACACAGTATCTTTTTCTCCTTTCTAGATAAAGTATAAGCAGCAGGTGGTAGATATGTGTGATTTCCTTTCTTCAAGGGTCCTAATTCATTTCTTATTCCCATTGCTACCAAGTCCTTTCTTGCTTTAAGGCCATCCTTAGACTTTCCTTGTATATTGAGTAACGTACCAATAACACTTTCAAATATATTTTTTTCAATATGCATAACATCAAGAAAATGTCTTACATACAACGACTTCCAATACGGCAACTCAAACAAAATTGACCTCTTCTTCCACCCACGCGTGACAAGCGTATGAGCAAAAGGCTTGCCAAACTTAGTACTCACATCTTTCACCTTTTCAAAAATTTGTTCGCCGGTCAATGTAGGTGGAGTTTTACGTTGTTCTGAATTTCCATTGAATGCTTTTCTCCACCCACGATAGTGATGATTAGAATTTAAGAATCTACGATGACCAAGAAAGACATTCTTCTGACCAAATTCCAACCGCATCCAATCTGTGTTTTCTTCAGAGATAGGACACACACATTGACCTTTAATGCTATAACCCGATAGATTTCCGTATGCTGGGAAATCATTAATTGTGCCAAACAACATCGCCCTCAAATTGAAACTTTCTTTCCTATATCCATCATAAACCTCCACACCGTTCTCCCACAAACTCTTTAAGTCTTCGATTAAAGGTGTCAGGTATACGTCTATGTCGTTCCCTGGTTGTTTAGGGCCAGAAATTAACATAGATAACATCATGTACTTACGCTTCATACATAGCCATGGAGGTAGGTTATAAATTATAATAATTACAGGCCAGGTGGAATGTGAGATACTCTGCAGACCATGCGGATTCATTACATCAGTCGATAATGCCAAGCGAAGGTTTCTAGCTTCTTCTCCACAATCAGGATAATCATTATCAATTTTCATCCACTGGAGTGAATCTGCCGGATGTCAATATTTCCCATCTACAATTCTATCATCTGCATGCCAAGTCAGGTGTTTTGCATCTGTTTCACTACGAAACATGCGTCTGAATCTCTGAATTATAGGAAAATACCATAATACTTTTGCTGGTGACAATTTTTTCGTATACCGAGATACACCGCATTTAGGACACTCGTTTAATGATGCATATTCATTTCGAAACAAAATGCAATCATTTGGACAAGCATGTATCTTATCATAGCTCATGCCAATAGAGGATAACATTTTTTTAGCTTCATAGGTTCGATTGGGAAGAACATTATCCTCCGGAAGCATCTCTTGAAGTAGGGCTAACAACTCTGTGAAACTTTTATCCGACCATCCATTAGCCGCCTTTAAATTGTACAACTTTAATACCGCGGACAATCTTGTGAAAGTAGTGCAACCTTTATACAACAGTTTCTCTGCATCACTTACCAACCTCTCAAACATCTTGGGACAATCTTGAAGATCTTCTTCAAGTGCTTCTGCAATCTCTTCCACTCGATCACAATCATATGTATCCCTGCCATTGTCCTTTGAAGCACATGCCATATTATTCCGGGGTTCACCATTCTCGTTACTTATCTCACCATGTAATGTCCAACATGTGTAACTTCGATCAATTCTATGTCTCATTAAATGAGATTCTAACTGAACGGCGTCAACTCGACGCCCATAACAGCATCCTAAGCAAGGACATGTGATCCTACTGGGGTCTTTGGCGTGTTCAACAGCGAACTTAACGAACTTCGATACCCCATTCTCGTACTCTTTTGAAAATCGATTACTAGACATCCATTTTTTATCCATACTGATTAAGTAATCTACACTAAACTATGAAAGTTAAACAAAACAGAGAATACCTGTAAAGAAATCACTAACTTCTAAGAATGCTACACAGTAGGATGCTTGGAAACGATCACAACATTGCTCTTCACAGGTAACCCCTATAGCAGACAAAATATAAATTTTATTAAAACCATATTAATAATTATCCAAAACAAAAATACTAGATAATCCACCAAAACAAATCATATTAAAAATACTAGATAATCCTTAAACCAAAATGACACCCTTACTAAACATTGAGAAATCCTAACTAAACATATTAAACCATAATAACATATCATATAAACATTGAGAAATCCATAATAACATATCAACATATAAAACCATCAACATATAAAACGATAATAACATATAAAACCATATCATATAAAACCATATTCATGTTGGCTACTCTCTTAAAAAATACGAATTTCCAAAATATTAAAAAAAAAATACTCTATCAAGTTACATTAATATTTTTAGCCATCATTATCTAATATTTTTGTTATATTCAAATTAGAAGAAAACTCATTTGTATGAGTGGTGCTAGATGAATTATCCATCTAAGTTCAAAATAGCAACAAAATAAAAACAACATCAATCTCAATCCCAAAATAACAATAGAAAAACAATAACACATAAAACATTTTGAGTTGTTTAGGCTTTTAACAACAACAACAACAACAACAACAACAAAAACAATAGTATACGTAACATATCTACACAAACCCAACAACATTAGTGTTAACATCATATCAAATATCATACTTGAACTCAAATTTACTTGCATGTCCTCAAACCTTCAACGCAAAACAACACTAAAAACCTTCACTAAACCTTCAATAACTCAATAAAAACAACAACAACAACAATAATATTAAATCCTTCAATGCCTCAATAACAACAAACCTTCGCATTGCAACAACTATATCAAACCTTCAATATCTCAATAACACAAAGCCTTTAATATCTCAATAACAACAAAGAGACAATAACACATAAATGCTTAACTCAGCAAATCTTTAAAGAATTTGATCAATACATATAACCACTATAACTCAGCAATGCCATATACATATACCTTCAATATCTTAATAACAACAAAGAGACAATAACACAAAACCTTCAATATCTCAATAACACAAAACCATCTATATCATCAGAACAGAAAACCATCTATATCTTCAAATACCAACAATGGTGAAAAGATAAATAAACAAGCAAACCATAGTAAAACTTCACATACCGTAACAATGGTGGAAATGCAATGCAGACGGACGGGTGCTCTCGAAAACGGACGGTGAACGGCGGCGAAATCCAACGGAAGAGGGCGACGGTCGGACGGAGGATGACGAAAACTATAGGGCAACGTTCGTTCGTTCGTTCGCCAGAGAAAGAAAGAAGAAAAGAAATTGTGCGACTGTTCTGTTTCTCTTAAAATTCTGGAGGGTATTTTAAAATTATAATACTAATACATATAGCAGCGCTTTTAAAGGCCTTTAGCAGCGCTTTTAAAAGCGCTTTCATAGGGTGCCTTAGCAATGCCATATAGCAGTGCTTTATAGAAAAAGCGCTTTTATAGGGTCCCCCTTTAGCAGCGCTTTTTAAAAGTGCTTTCTTAGGGTACCCCTTTAGCAGCGCTTTTTAAAAAGCGCTTTCTTAGGGTACCCCTTTAGCAGCGCTTTTTTAAAAGCGCTGTCTTTGGTAGGCAATTTTTTTTCTTTTTTTTTACTCACCCTTTAGCAGCGCTTTTTTAAAAAGCGCTGTCTTTGTGTGCGCTGTTAAAACTCATTTCTGGCATAGTGAAAGCTTAGTACTTGAGCTACTTTTTTGTAGCAAATAAAATTAAATATGTTTTAGGAAAGTAAACTAATTCTGCAATGATTAAAAGCTTATTTAGCATTATCAAATTAAAATAGTATAGTTACAACTTTATTTTTCTTGTTTTTTCCATTCTTTCATTTTCAAGTCGCAGTGTCCATATTATAAGAGAATAGATTTAATACATAAGCAAAATATATATAATTTATATTTAGTTGAAATATTGATCATTTAATATATTAAAAAATTTATAGTAAATATGAGAGATGAAATATTATATGTTTTACTATATTTGTCTTGATTTTTTGAAAAAGATTTCTTCTCAATTCGTACACCACTCAAAAGTATTAAAGGTTTCGTGGACGTATTAGACAGATAATTAGAAATTTTCAATTTAAAGAAAATCTAAATTATTTGGTCCATACATGTGATATTTCATTTAAGTTACGTCATCTACTTTTTCTTTTGTCGATAAGTGTTGATACCTTAAAGTAGACTATACCACCAACACACAGACAAAGAAATAAAGTTCCATTACAAAAGATACAAATTATTTTGGTCCCCTCTAATCTGTTGACGATGGTCTGAATTTGTAAAATCCTCTATTGTTCAATTGTTTTTCTATTTTTTTGGTTTTTCTTGTATATTTTATTTTTTTGTGTGGTGGCCCTTTTTACACTCCCTTGTATCTAATTATATAGTGTAGTGAGTTTGAATTTTTTCATTAAACTACTTAAAATTCATTATTTCTTTTATTTCAAATATCCAATTTTGCGTAAACACATTGACGTGGATATTTCTCTTAAAATTGAGTTATTTTTCTGCACAGAACTTCAATGCAGATAATGACTTATGGTGGTCCTTTTTTCAATTTCTAAGCTTAATTTATTATTTTACAAGGCCAGCATTCGTGATTGAGAATATGGATAAAGACAAGATATTGCAAAGTAAGAATAAGAAGTGAGAAAAAAAAAAAAAGAAAAAGAGAGAAAAATGGTGATTGAAGGAGCTGTTGTAACGGCAGTAATGGTTGGACTTCAATTCCTGGATGTAGGTGGTGACACACTAGTGAAATCAGCAACTAAAGATGGAATGAGTATTTTTATTTTTAATGTTTACTCAAACCTTTTTGCTCTCTGTATTCTTCTACCATATACCCTCTCCTATCACAGAAAAAGAGCTCCTCCTCCAATTTCAACTTCAATTTTCTGTAGAATATTTCTTCTTAGTTGCATCCAGTATGAATAAAAAAAACCATAATTTAATTCGCATAATTTATATTATGGTTGTTATAATAAAAATTTGAATCTGAAGCTACATGTGCAGAACTTCAGTGCAGATTTTAATGAATACCGGAATTGGATATAGCTCTCCCACTTTGGCATCTGCTATGGTTGATCTTGTCCCTGCTTTTACTTTCATACTTGCTCTAATTTCAAGGTTTGTTCTTTCTATTTTATTTATCTTCTTTGGATTCCCAGCAACCACATGCATCAAAAGTCAGCAGCATAAAATATATTTTATTCACCATATTATGTGAAGCTTAAGATTATTAACTTTTATGAAGTTGTCTTTCTGATTTTTTCTCCCTTAAATACTAATTAATAATATTTTTTAAATCACTTTTCAAATTAAATATGATAATTGTAGACAAATATATTTTTTAAAAATAGTCATTAGAATTATAAGAAAATTATCTTTGTATTACATTTAAACAAACACATAAGTTTCAAAAAATAAAATAAATTCGACTTTATAAAAACTCACATATATTAGTTCGCCTGAATGCGTGATATGTATGATCACAATTTTTTTAATTGACCATAGCGGTATATATCTTTAGATAAATAACATTTTATTTACTTACGGTTACTATAAATAATCGTTGTTGATAGTACTCAAAGTTTATTATATAATATGTAGATTGTTTGGTTTTTAATAAACTTCAGAACAACATATAATCATTCAAATTGATGAAAAAAATATATAATTTAAAAATTAAACTATTCTTCAAAGCCAACTTAAACAAGTCACTGTTTTCTGAATTTCATTTGTCTCATCGTTCCTCTCACGCTGTTTAGCATATAGAATGTGGTTCAATGGTCTAAATTTTTCATCACATCAATTCCTTCTTTTTCTAGTTTAATTTGAATAATATCAATAAATTGTTGTTACTCAAATTAAACTATAAGAGAAGATATGGATGAGTTAAAGGAATAAGATCATTGACCCACATTCTCTAAGTTAAACAGACTAAGATGAACGATAAGACACATGCAATTCGAAAAATATTGATTGATATAAGTTGGCTTTCAAATACAACTAAATTTTTTGATTATAAGTTTCTATGTCAATTTAAATGAAATGTATTTTCAGTGAAGAGTTACTGAAACAAACAATCTACATAATATATAATAAACTCAACTTCATACAACATCATACAACAACACAAGATATTATGTAATGTTTTGAGAATTTTATAAAGAACAAAACATTGATAAGTCACAAGAAACTTCTTTCTTGTGACTTAGTAATGTTCTGTTCTTTAAATTATTAAAACATTAATCAACAACAACAACATACAACAACATTTATTAACAACACAACAACATACAACAAAATAAGGTTCAAGGACACCAATAGCAACATACAACAACAATAACCTACAACAACATAAGATATTATGTAATGTTTAAAGAACACACATTTTTATAACTAATCATGGATATAGAACAAATTATGATTTTCATATAGTTTATAAAACTATAAAGAAGAAGTACAAGGTGAATGAAGTTAACACAATAACTTCATACTTGTATTTTTCTTCATAGCTACACAAACCATATGATAGACAAAATTTGACGCTTTCTTAAGGTGGTGTAGACGAATCTGAAAAAATGAGAAAATTCACCAAATAAAAAAATGAGAATCCATTTTTAACAAGAAATGTAAAGGAAATCAAAACACAAGTTTAATGAATGAACGTGAAATATGATTAAAGAGTATCATAGTGATTGGTGAAGATAAATCTGAAGGTTTAAGAAAGTTTAAAAATTGACATGGATGTTAGGGTTATGTTATGAGAGAGAAGAGTGAAATATGTTACATTTTTCATTTGAGAAAAACGATTGTTATGTACTGAACGATTCATACTTTCGCTTATATAGTAAAAAATGTCATATTTCATCACGGTTAGAAAGAAAAATTGTGATATAATACATAACTTTTACAACGGTTCTTTTGTAAAACCATGGTTAAATATCTCACAATTTTATTTATTTATTTATGAACCCAATTGCTAGAGAGGTATTAATTATTGTTATTGTTATTTTTCATTACTGTTGCGATTATTGTTTTTATTTTTGTTGACTTATACTATTTATTTTGTAAAACAATAATATATTGTGATATAAATGAAAGAGTATATATAACAATAATAAATATTTTCATTAAAAGAGTCAAGAGGTCGGAGTACATAAATTATTTTATTACATATTGTCAATGTCAGAACAATAACCTCTAGCAGCAAAAGAATCTTTACAATCTATGACTTTCTCCTCATTATCCTCGTCAGAATCATAGTAACAAATCTTCCTTGACACCTTTTTCTTCTTCTTCAGCTTCTTCTTTTTCTTCTTCTTGGTCTTCATAAATCTAAGTGCAATCGATTCAGATGGATGAACCTTCTCAGTTACTGTTGATTATGGTGTTGTACTATGACGACTTCAATTGAGATATTTCTATTAGCATTTTCTGATGGATAACTCATGTTGTTATATATAGTTAAGAAGAATAGTATTGAAGAACTGAAAATTCATTATATGAAGCTGTGCCTTTATAGAAAATGTTTAAGATGAAAGATATGATGATTTAATGCTTGAAATGATTACTTCCAATGGATGATATTCTTGAATGACATTGTGACTGTCTTGGAAACTGAAGAAAATTTTCAATCATCATTATACTTAGGTAGAGCGTTTCTCTCTTTAGGGAAGTGTAAAGATTGTACAAATAATATTACAACAGTTGCATATTAAACTCGTGATTAAATAATCTTTAATTTTTTATTTACTTATGAATTTAAGTGACACACGCTTTTTGTAATAGGAAAAAATGGAAAAAATGTAGATATTAATTAGGATTCGAACCATGTACCACTCACTCTATCACCACGATTGTGTCTATCAACCATGATAATTTGACTTTGAAAAAAATAAATTAGTATTAGGCACGTCCAATTTCATATAATGACCGTGGTAATATTATGTTACTGAATGTTTATTTTGTAGTAGTGACTGCTCTCTCCTTGTTCTGCTTAATAGAACAAACCTTTTAAAGTGTTGCCAGAGCGTCTTTCTTCCCTTTGTTTGACTAATAATAGAATTAACAAAAAATATAGTATCACAAAAAATAATAAATAAAATTTACCCACAACACAAGTATATACAAAAAAAAAGAGAAGAAGTTCAATGGGTTCAGAGGAGAAGAATAAATTGTTCCTTCAAGATGTGTTTTTAAGCCATGGATGCAACTTTGGAATTTCATATCTAAATGAAAAAAAGGATTTTGAAGCCATAGATGTGACTTTAAGTGCATGGCGACTAGGGTTTTAAGGAAGGAAGGATAACAAAGATTGAGAATGTTAAATTGTGATGAAAAGAAATAGAGAAAGAAGAAGAGAGACGAAGGTCCAAGAAGGAGAAGAGAGAAGAAGGTGGCGGCTAGGGTTTTGGGGAAAGGAGGATAGAAAGAGAGGAATGATATAATAAAAATTCACATAGATAAATATAAATCCAAATAAATTTCCACATAGGTAAAAATTAACATTTTTTTCATAAAATTTAATGGAAATGACCAATTAGACTAACATAACTATTTTTAAAGGACTAACATGTAACATGTTTTAGATAAAGAACTAAAGTTAAACAAGCGGAAAAAATATGCACTAAATCTTTGTTAAATTAAATTCAATAATATACTTTTAGGTGATCAACAATACATAATATAAGAATGGTTTAATTAGTGATAGAGTTCCTTACATTAATTTTATATTTCATTTTAGTGCTTTATCAAATAAATGATACATTTTAGTCCATTAATAACTGTTACGTTAGTCAAATTAGTCTGTTATGTTAAATATTAAGAAAAACAATTAAGTTGTAATAATGTGACATGATAACATGGCAAAAGTCAAAATAGTGAGTCAAAAATTTAAATAAGAGACTACATTGAAACAATATAGTTAGTTTAAGGATACACTAGGATTTCATAACATTTTAAACTAGAATTGTTTTACATTCTTTGATTCAAATAAAAAACATTAAACAAAAATGGAGAACCAAACAAGTGATTATATGGTCTAAAGAATAATGAACAAAGTATTTCGCTTCACATTGATTGAATATTGTGTATATATTCATCGGTGCAAAGGTAAAGTTGAAGAGAGTGGTGGTGCAGACTTAAATTTTGTTGTCTGATTTTATGTGTAGACTCAAATTGTACTTCATAATCATATTCACCATCATAAATATAACACATGAAGAACTCACAAATCACCTCGTAATCTAATTTTAAAACATAGCATAATATTCACATAAACTCATCACAGACGAATCAAGTGACAATTAAATAAAATTTAGATAATTTTGAAAGTTATAGAAAAAATGGTTCTCTAGTTAAGATTTGTTGTGAAATCTGATGCTTAAAACAAATAAACTATTTTTTTATGATCAACAAATACATAAGGGTTAAGGTTAACGAAAGAACAAGAAGAACATCAAGGATTAATTATAACTGCTATTCTTTAATTCCTAATTAAATCAGATTACAAGTACTCAAAAATAACAAATAAACCTCTCACCCTAATTAGGATTTGTCACGCATAAGATGATAGACTAGTATGCTATATATAATAAAATCTAACATACTAAACTAATGAGCTTTTTAACAATTACTCATTACAAGTTAACTCAAGGTACAAACTAACTCGAGGTACAAGCTAAATTAAACAATTGGACATAACAAATAAGCCAAATTCGACATGCTAACAAATCTAGTATTTCTGATAACTTCATGTTTGACCCTATTTTGACTGCAGCATATACTATTTCGACAACAGTATGTGAACGACCTTCGATTGCATGCTAAACATCTGTCGAAATCCCTATGGATAAATGCAATTGAATTTCCCCAATTTTACATTGTCAAATTGATCTAGGAATTCAAACCAACCTAATGAAAGATATATTTGATGATCAAACTAATATAAAGTTTAGCAACTTTTTCCACAAGCTTAAAAACACAAATGTCCTCAACAGAATTGTTGTTCAATGTTTTGTAATTTTTCAGCTACAATTTAAAGTATATTAATAATTAAGATAAATAAAATTGTATCTCTTTGATGATACAATTTCTCTCTTAATCCTATCACGAGTCAAATAATAATAAAGAGCCAATATAAATTTTCTTTCATAAGAACGAGCATCAAAAGTCTTAACATCTTCCACATCCTTAACCTCTCTAGCAAGAACCTCACCTCAAACCGAGTCTTCCCTATTATAGTTTATGATTCTTTCATCTCTATGTCTTAAATCTTTCTCTCTTTACGGGTTTCACCAAAAGAAATATCCTTACTTATGATAAACTTTGATCCTTCAAGTTCGACCTTCGACAACTTGTAACGATTCCCTCATCCTAGATAACCAATGGAGACACAACTTACAAACTTACAATCAAGTTGGTATATCATGATTTACACAAATGACAACTTTGAAGACCTTGAAATTAGAGTAGTGTACAAATTCTCCATTCCAAACCTTCATATGTTTTTTAAAGTATATTCTTATATATGGAAATTTGTTGATTAACAATAATACCATCCTTATCCCAAAAACTCTTTTGGCAACCAAACTCATAGAAAAATTGCAAAACTAGTTTTAGGCATCTCTATATTTTTTACTTGGAAAACACATAGATTGTTCGTTTACATGTTTTTGTTAGTTCGTGTTTCATTTACATGCATTGATCTCAAATCTCATAGCTTTTTATTTTCATAAAAGTCTTCACAAACTAACGATGTATGACCAATAGTAGTTAAACCATCTGAAATATATAACCCATAAATATTAGACTCTTTAGCCATGTTCAATCCACCATGCAAAATTTTCAACACCCACATCCAACTCTAGTACAACAACCTAGCTCACCAAACATTCTTATGAATAACAATTTTGCCTAAGTTCAAGAACATACCTCATACCGTGTATAAGAAATTTTCGATTATTGAACTATTTAATGTGTTTGACTTTATCCACTATCCAATCTTCTTTGTTTGTATTAGACGTGCAGACATCAATTTTACACACTTCAATGTCTATACACACCTTTGTGGAGTTTATATTTTTTTTAATTTTTAATTTCCACAATCTAGAATTGTTCTCTCTAAAAATCTTCTTGATATCTAATTTATAATCTATGATACTCACTTTTAAACTTAACCCCTTTGTCTTTCGGTGGGTGTCATTTGATGTGAAATTGAAATTCAAAAATTCAACTAAATTAAAATTTTGTTTTGGGATAAAGGCAATGACAACAAAAAGAAATGGTCCTAAACGAAATTAATGTAGACTGTGTTCCTCCATACTGCACTATGTTCTTGAGAGCATTGAGTTTTTACAAAATTAAAAAGTAATTTTAAGCCAAACATAATTGTGGTGTAAAATGAAATTAAACGTAACGGTTGCAACTTAATATTGAAATTGGGAACGACGCCATCAGGTTCAATATGAGTAACTTCTCCTTGAAAATATTTAAGGTTATAGGAATTTGAAGGAAAGGTAATTTACTTAAGACACTAAAGTTATCACTAATAATTTTTAATGCTTGTATTTTTCATGTATAAAGATATAATAAATTTTTATTGTGAGTTACTACAACTGTTAGCCAAAAATATTGCCTGTGGATAATTAATACATTTTGATAATTCTATATATAATGTTGTATGATTTGAAAGACACCTATCTATTTGAGTCTAAAATTCTAAGAAATAAACTAAATTTTCATGTTGAGGTACTATAAGGGTTAGCTAGAATCATGTGTTTAAGATGCTATGTTGCTGACTTAGATGCTATATGTTTTGGGTGATAATTATATATTTTAGATTGTACTATGTATTTTGGATGAACACTTTATGAATTTTGTCTGTTTTAATGAAAAATATTAAGGCCTTATTGCTATTCTGGTTAATAGACCATTTATGTTTAATCCAGAAATGTTATGTTATTCTTTTCAATTTTTAGGTCTTTTGTCTTTAGAGTATACTAAATTGTTAAACTCAGGTCATTCAATTCTCTATTAGTGTAACAAGTACGTTTTTTAAAGTTTTTTTTAGTGTAATATATACGGACACAAATTATATCCTTATTGCAACATAACATTTGATAGAATCTAACAACAATAAATTGGACACGAACATATCCTTTAAAAGTGTTTATTTCAACATCAAATATGAGTATAAAATAAACATCATCATTGAAGAAAATCATTACAACATCACATTAACAACTTGTCTTACAACACTAACATCAACATAAACCATAATCACCACTTATTGATCAAAATACACATCAACATTACAAAAATTATGATTAAAAATATTATTACAAAAACTAGCATTTTCAACATGATATTCATCATCTCCTTTGTATAGTAGTCATCTCCGCGAATCTTCATCATCTTCTTCAACATGTTGATTTTTGCATCCTTTTCATTGCATTTTGAATATCTCCTTTGTGTGTTGATTTCTGTTTACTCTTCACAATTTCACTCTTTTTCAAACCACTCAAAAAAGTTGCAGCCACAATTTAAACCTTCACTCTGTTAACATATATTAGTTAGCATTATCAAATAAAACATAATAGACAATAACAATAAACGTATAACAAAGTTTATGCAGCTCCAAAATAGCTTTCCAAAGTTTTGTCCTTTCACACCTTGATTCGATTTTGCCATGAGATGCACTCAAAAAGAAGAAAGTACAACTCGGAGTACGTGAATTTGAGAAATTTATACCGTATGAAGACATTGTTGGAGAAGGGAGAAGATGGAGGATGACCATAGTTTTAGAATTTAATAAAAATGAAAGTGATTTTTTTCTAATTACTTAAAGTAATATTCAAAACAATCACATCTCAACAATATTACAGCCACATCATGTATTTTTGAAATGAAATTATTTAAAAAGGTCAACTCTCTAGACATTATGTAACTTAAAAGACTAAATTGTAGCATAAAAAATTTAAAGAATCAACCTGTTACAATTAAATATTCTAAATGATCCTTGGTATAATTTTTCATGGTGAGTTACTATAAGTGGTAGCCAGAAATATTACTCCTAAATAATTAATACATTTTAATAATTCTACATATAATGTTGTATGATTTAATACATGACACATATCCATTTGAGTCAAAAAATCTAATAAATAGCCTAAAACAAGAAATGTAGCTAAATTGGTATAAACACTGTTGTGTACACTTTCAGGATGGAAATTCTAAATTTGAAACAACATAGTAGTCTAGCAAAAGCTATTGGTACCATGGTATGCATTGGAGGGGCATTAACTATAACACTATATAAAGGGATGCCATTGATTAGCGATGTCTTTCCAAATACAGAAATGGGAGAAAGTGGAATTAACATCTCAGGAAAATCAGATTGGATAGTTGGAGCTTTTCTTCTTGCAACTGGTTGCTTTTTCCTTTCTGTTATATATATTGTCCAGGTAAACAACCTATTAATTAATATGCACACATACACTGATTTAAGAACTGATTTTGAAATTTTTTTTCCATCATATGCAGTATTGGATTATCAAGGATTATCAAGAAGAGTTGTTGGTAACAACTATTTGTTGCAGTTTTACGGTAATTCTATCTATTGTTGCAGCTCTAATTGTAGAGGGAAATTCAAAAGCTTGGATACTCAGACCTGATAAGAAATTGGTATCTATTTGTTATTCAGTAAGTATAAATTTTATTAAGGCTAATAAATAAAAATGAAATGTTTACTTAATGTTTTTTATGGACATTATTGGTTTTACAACTTTTTATTTATAGGCAATACTTTTACAATCAACGAGAGATGTTATACATACATGGGCAAGTCGTATGAAAGGACCAATATTTGTAGTTATATTCAAGCCTTTAAATGTGGTTATTGCAATTGGCATGGGAGTAATATTTCTGGGAGATAACCTTTATCTTGGGAGGTAAATAAATGCTTCTAAATAACAACAAATTAATTAGTGAAGATTCACTTATATTATTATAAGTATATGATTGGAATTTTGATTTTAAAATTGATTTTCTTTTCTAATGGATGCAGCATGATTGGAGCTGCTATTATAATTATTGGATTTTATGGTGTAATATGGGCACAGGCTCAAGAAAAACAGACGACAAGTGAAAATAATATTCTCTCATCTTCTTCGGCCCCTTTGATGTCAAACAAAAGTATGGATCTATAGTGGCTCTGGTTCAATGACAAATTAAAATTTATGTGTTACACTAAAAAATGTAAATTTAATTTTTGTTATTAACATCAATATGTAATTTATATCAATGAATTTTTTGATCACAAGTGTTATTTATGATTAAAATAGAAGAAATATAGTTACTATGAGATTATTTTGTATGAGATACGGATTAAGATTGCTTATTAAAAATCTATTTAGTTAAATATTTACACTACAAAGATAGATTTTCTAACAAGTTTTTAACCTCCTAGATTTTCTAACAAGTATTTTTCCTCCTAACAGCGAAGAAAATTATTCAGTTTTATTTTTTCAAAATATATAACGCTATACATTCATTCTTTTTGGCATGAATTAAATCTTTTGTGCCTTAGACACACTTTTTCTTTTATCTTCAAACTTTAATTTTTTTGTTAATAAATGATTTGCTGTCGCACACAGGTCAAAAAATAATTTTAATAAACTTAATATATATAAGCGACACTCAAGTCGTATCGCAAGAACTCTTGATTATTTTAATCAATCGATTGAAACGAAAGGGAGGGTTTATGTTTTCAATTATGATTATGATTAAGAAAATCTTATTATGCATAATATTAATAAGACAATCTACTGTTTTGGTTTCCGACTTATCACTGGTTACTTTGTTATCAATTCTCTAAGTGGTTTCGATTCCTATTCGATTACAATATCGATTAAACAAGCGCAATTGATAATGCACACTCTTATTTACCGAATGAGGCAAACGGTAAAATATTACACAAATTATCAAAAAAGCTACGTTTAAACGCGATTATGGTTGAAGAACATAAATCAATGGAATTTAATCAAAACTACTCTATGACATATCGAAATAAGCAAATTAAATTCACAGAATAGAATTGAAAAGGAAATGAAATTGAATTGATAAATGTAAAAACCTCAAAGTTTGATTGCAACATGATTCCATAGATCAATTGTATAAAATTTAGCTCTCCATAAAAATGTTAGCGGCTATCTCTTCTAAATTACGTGTGTGAGATGTTGGATCGAACTCTGGTATGGTCAAAGAGTAGCTTCTGGTTCGACAGAAATTAAGCATGAGGTCGAAGTCTGTTCGCATGTTGTTGTCGAAGATAATGCGTGTTGTAGTCGAAGTTTGTTCTAACATGCATTAGTCAACTTTGCTAGGCTGTTAGCATATTGAATTGGGCCTTGCTTGTAAGCTCAAGTGCTTAAGTTAGCTTGTACCCTAAGTTAGCTTGTAATGGGTAATTGTTAAAAAGCCCATTAGGTTAGTGTGCTATTTTTCTTATAAATAGGATGCTCGTTTCTCAATCTTGGCATAAGGAAAAATAGGAAGATAAAATCCTAATTTTAAGAAAGAGAGGTTATTTTGTTATTCTTGTATACTTGTAATCTTCTTCTAAGAGAAAGGAAAAAATAACTATTTATAACCAATCCTTGTTGTTTCTTGTTGTTTTACCTTGTTTTCTTTGTTAACCCCAACCCTTGTGTGTTTCTTGATCAAGAAGAAACCGTTTATACTTTGTTTTAAGGTATCTGATTCACAACAAATTGGTGCGGTAAACGCGAAGAAGATGCCTTCAACAAAGTATGAGATTGAAAAGTTCACCGAATTGAACGACTTCGGTCTGTGGCGCGTAAAGATGAAAGCCCTACTTGTTCAGCAGGGTTCTTTTGAAGTGTTGAAGGCTGAGGCAGCCATGAACACTGCGTTAACGGAAAAAGAAAAGACAGGCATGATCGAGAAAGCCCACAGAGCAATATTGTTGAGCCTTGGTGATAAGGTTTTTCGACAGGTATCAAAGGAGACTACAACAACGGGATTATGGGTGAAACTTGAAAGTTTGTACATGACCAAATCCCTGGTGAATCAACTCTACCTGAAGCAAACTTTGTATTCATTCAAGATGAGTGAAGATAAAGTGTTGGCTGAGCAGTTGGATATGTTTAACAAGCTGATTCTTGATCTTGAAAATATTGATGTGAAGATCTATGATGAATATCAAGCATTGTTGTTGTTGTGTGCTTTGCCCAGAACACATGCTCACTTCAAGGAAACTCTTCTGTATGGAAGGGAGTCCCTGACCTTTGAAGAAGTTCAATCAGCCTTGTATTCTAAGGACTTGAACGAATGAAAGGAGCATAAACCTTCGACGGTGGGCGAAGTTTTGGCGGTTAAGGGAAAATTCTTGCGAAAGGATGGTAACTTCGACAAGAAGAAAGGTAAAAGTCAACAGAAATCTTATAGTGGCGAAACATCTAGTATTCGATGTTATCATTGTAAGAAGGAATGTCACATAAGAAAGGTGTGCGCTGAACACTTGAAAGATCATGGAGGTAATGGCAACGCAACCATTGTTCAAGATGACTTCGACTCATCTGATGTTCTTGTGGTTTCAAGTGGCGACTCAAGAAAAGAGTGGATTATGGATTCAGGTTGCACTTGGCATATGACTCTAAACAGAGAATTGTTCGAGGAGCTATGTGATCAAGATGGTGGATATGTGCTGCTGGGAAACAACAAATCTTGCAAAATTGCAGGTAATGGATATGTGAGATTCAAGCTCCATGATGAGTCAATAAGGTTATTGACTTAAGTTAGGTATGCACCTGACTTGAAGAGAAATTTGATTTCTCTTGGTGAATTTGACAGAAAGGGATATGCTTTTTAAGGAGAGAAAAGTATCCTAAGACTCATGAAGGGGTCGAAGGAAGTCTTGAAAGGCGTGAAGAAACAAGGCTTGTATGCCCTTGAGGATGAGGTTGTAAGTTATTCGACAAATCTTGCATCCACGAAACCTGTGTCGAATACAAAATTATGGCACATGAGATTGGGCCATGTCAGCGAAAGAGGCCTGGTCGAATTGGGGAAGCAGAACCTGCTAGGAGGTGACAAATTCGAAAAGTTAGACTTTTGTGAATCTTGTGTATTTGGTAAAATCCTGTAGCGCAAAGTTTAACAAAGACAAGCAAAAAATACATGGATCTCTAGATTACATTCATGCTGATCTTTGAGAGCCTGCAAGGAATCCTTCACACTCAGGTGCAAGGTATTTTCTATCCATCACTGAGGACTATTCCAAAAAGCTATGGGTATTCATTCAGAAGACGAAGGATGGAACTTTTGAGAATTTCAAAATTTGGAAGATTCTGGTCGAAACTCAAATTGGCAGAAAGGTCAAGAGGTTGAGAACCGACAATGGCCTTGAATTCTGTAACTAAGCGCTCGACAGTTACAGTGTTGAGTTTGGGATTGCAAGGCATAAGACTATAACAGGTACTCTTTAATAAAATAGCTTAGCTGAGAAATTCAATCGAACAATCCTTGAAAGGTTTAAATGCATGTTGGTTAGTGTTGGATTAAAGAAGGTGTTTTGGGCGGAATCTCTTTCGACAACAGCTTACCTGATAAATAGATGTCCCTCGACTACCTTGGGAATGAAGACACCTGAAGAAGTTTTGTCGGGACATCCGCCTAGTCTCGACAGACTGAGAGTATTTGGTTGTGTGTCCTATGCACATATTAGGCAAGACAAGGTCGAACTTAGAGCTCTGAAATGTATGTTCATGTGATACCCTGAAGGAGTCAAAGCTTACAGGCTATGGTGCCTAGAGCCAGGTCATAAGAGGTGTATCACCGGTCGAGATGTAGTTTTTAATTAAGCAGAGATGACTTTCAAGAAAACTGATGATGCTGACGAAGAGCTGGAACATGGAGAGATTCCTGTTGAGGTGGAACATGTTGATGTTGAATTGCGTACCCCAGATAAAGTCGAAGAAGACGCAAAAGATATTGTCGTAGATGAGGAGACTGATAATGACTACCTGCTAGCAAGAGACAGGTCGAGGAGAGTCATCAAGCCACCTCAAAGACTTGGGTATGCAGATCTTATAGCTTATGCCTTAATCTCTGTAAGTGAGGTTCTACACGAAGAGCCTAGAGACTATAAGGAAGTTATGAGGAGTCGAAAGAAGATTGAATGGCTGAAGGCCATGGATGATGAGATGAAATCACTTCATGATAACAACATCTGAGAACTAATCAAGAAACCTGATGGAGCCAAGTTAGTCAACTGTAAATGGATTTTCAAAATTAAGGAAGGAATTGAAGGAGTGGCATCAAAGAGATACAAGGCAAGATTGGTTCCTAGGGGGTTCACTCAAAAAGAAGGTATCGACTTTAATGATGTGTTCTCTTTTGCTGTGAAGCACAGATTCATCCGAATGTCGCTTGCCACAGTGGTACATTTCGATCTTGAACTGGAATAGATGGATGTGAAGACTGCATTCTTATATGGTGACTTGATGAAACAATCCTGATGAGGCAACCTGAAGGGTATTGTCGAAAAAGGGAAGGAAGATTATGTGTGCAAGCTGAATAGATCCTTATATGGATAAAACAATCTCCTCGATAGTGGAATAGGAGATTCAACAAGTTCATGGCATGCATAAGTTTCATCAGAAGTTAGTTCGACCACTGTGTTCACTTCAGATTTCGACTGGGTAATTCATTTGTTATTTTGATGCTCTATGTGGATGATATTCTAATAGCAAGTAACAATGTCGAAGAGGTAATGAGGGTGAAGGATGAACTCAATAAGGAGTTCAACATGAAGGATCTGGGAGCTGCGTCCAGGATTCTTGGGATTGACATTCGAAGAGATAGAAAGTAGTCAAGATTATGCTTATCTCAAGAGGCATACCTATGAAAGATTCTCGAAAAGTATGGTATGTCGAATTGAAAGCCTGTTGTGACTCCGACAAACCCTCAATTCATGTTGAGTATAGATCAGTGTCCCAACACTGATGTTGAAAGAACTTATATGAATAGCATTCCATATGCTAATATAGTGGGTTCTTTGATGTATGTTATGGTTTCTACAAGACCCGACATAGCATATGCAGTAAGTTTTGTAAGCAGGTACATCGCGAATTCTGGAAAGGCTCACTAGCAAGCATTAAAGTGGATTCTAAGGTACATAAATGAG